ATGGAGATACATGCACCAAAACAAGGTAGATGGGTACATGGGGTAAAGGGAGCAGCTTTAAAGAGGCCAGGTCTGAGATGATATATCCCAATAAAAAATGCCCAGTTACGTGATGTTGGGTATATCAGTCAAGGAGTGGCATTATTGGACTCCCCTACCTGCCAGGGCAATAACTCATTCAGTGAGAATGAGGGAAAGGTTACAGGAGAAAGTATAGACAGATACTGGTGGTAGGGGACTCAATTATTAGGTCAGATAGGGTTCTGTCACAAAGACCATGACTGCCGAATACTTGTATGTTGTTTACAGAACACTTGAATCAGATGGACAGATTGTTGGGTGGGGCTGGGGAGGACCCAGCTGTCACGGTATTCAGTAGTACCAATGACAAAGTTAGAGGAATATGGAGAGCGTCCTAAAAATGATTTCAGGCACATAGGAGCTATATTAAACAAAAGGACCTCTAGATCAGTATTCTCAGAAATACTGCTTGTACCTGCAGTCACACCTTTCCCATAAATGATAGGGAATTTGTTTACAAGTGACAATGAGAAAAAAACAACTGTGTTAAATACATTCTTCTCCTCAGTTTTTACTAAGGAAAAGTAGGGGTATAATAGACAAGATAGTATTGTTATGAACAAATGCATAGAATGTTCCCTTGTGGCTAACTGAAGGCAGTGTTCAAAAAACACTGGAAAAACTTCATGTGAGTAAATCATCAGGCCCATTTTGACTTACACATGAGAGTCCTCAAAGGATTTAGTCAGGTCATTGCTAGACCATAGTCTTAAAATATAAGCACAGCTTAGTGACCGCAATGGTACCAGATGACTAGCAAAAGCTAACATGATACCCATATTCAAAAAAGGACTAAGATATACAGTGGGGCAAAAAAAGTATTTAGTCAGCCACCAATTGTGCAAGTTTCTCCCACTTAAAAAGATGAGAGAGGCCTGTAATTGGCATCATAGGTAGACCTCAACTATGAGAGACAAAATGAGAAAACAAATCCAGACAATCACATTGGCTGATTTGGAAAGAATTTATTTGCAAATTATGGTGGAAAATAAGTATTTGGTCACCTACAAACAAGCAAGATTTCTGGTTCTCACAGACCTGTACCTTCTTCTTTAAGAGGCTTCTCTGTCCTGCACTCATTACCTGTATCAATGGCACCTGTTTGAACTTGTTATCAGTATAAAAGACACCTGTCCACAACCTCAAACAGTCACACTCCAAACTCCACTATGGTGAAGACCAAAGAGCTGTCGAAGGACACCAGAAACAAAATTGTAGATCTGCACCAGGCTGGGAAGACTGAATCTGCAATAGGCAAGCAGCTTGGTGTGAACAAATCAACTGTGGGAGCAATAATTAGAAAATGAAAGACATACAAGACCACTGATAATCTCCCTTGATCTGGGGCTCCACGCAAGATCTCACCCCGTGGGGTCAAAATTATCACAAAAACGGTGAACAAAAATCCCAGGACCACACGGGGAGACCTAGTGAATGATCTACAGAGAGCTGGGACCAACGTAACAAAGGCTACCATCAGTAACACACTACGCCGCCAGGGACTCAGATCCTGCGGTGCCAGACGTGTCCCCCTGCTTAAGCCAGTACATGTCTGGGCCCGTCTGAAGTTTGCTAGAGAGCATTTGGATGATCCAGAAGAGGATTGGGAGAATGTCATATGGTCAGATGAAACCAAAATAGAACTGTTTGGTAGAAACACAAACTCGTCGTGTTTGGAGGAGAGAGAGAATGCTAAGCTGCATCCAAAGAACACCATACCTACTGTGAAGCATGGGGGTGGCAACATCATGCTTTGGGGCTGTTTCTCCGCAAAGGGACCAGGATGACTGATCCATGTACAGGACAGAATGAATGAGGCCATGTATCGTGAGATTTTGAGTGAGTGCAAACCTCCTTCCATCAGCAAGGGCATTGAAGATGAAACGTGGCTGGGTCTTCCAACATGACAATGATCACAAACATACCGCCCGGGCAACGAAGGAGTGGCTTCGTAAGAAGCATTTCAAGGTCCTGGAGTGGCCTAGCCAGTCCCAGATCTCAACCCCATAGAAAACCTTTGGAGGGAGTTGAAAGTCCGAGTTGCCCAGCGACAGCCCCAAAACATCACTGCTCTAGAGGAGATCTGCATGGAGGAATGGGCCAACATACCAGCAACAGTGTGTGCCAACCTTGTGAAGACTTACAGGAAACGTCTGACCTCTGTCATTGCCAACAAAGGATATATAACAAAGTATTGAGATGAACTTTTCATATTGACCAAATACTTATTTTCCACCATAATTTGCAAATAAATTCTTTCCAAATCAGCCAATGTGATTGTCTGGATTTGTTTTTCTCATTTTGTCTCTCATAGTTGAGGTCTACCTATGATGCCAATTACAGGCCTCTCTCATCTTTTTAAGTGGGAGAACTTGCACAATTGGTGGCTGACTAAATACTTTTTTGCACCACTGTAGTATACCTTTACTTTTTTCAGGCTACTCTAACATTTGAGGGCTTTACTGAACAACGCATATATGGATAAATAGTTTATTTTCTTATTTTGTACATTGAAATTAAACCAAAAAACAAACACTGAATAAATTGTAACATAACTTTTTGGATGTGGAGGCTGCATTGGTTTTCCTTTTTTTTCACCTGGTGATTAACCAGTAAGTCAGTTATTTTTCAGCTTTCTTTACTATACCAAGCTGCCCAGACAAAGTGGCAGTTACAGAGTTGAGACAAACCATTTACTACTGACAGGAGTGCTTACAACTGTCAGTTTTTTGTATGTATTTTTGTAAAACCTTTAGGGCCAGGTCACACTATAGAAACGCAGTCCAGATGTGTTCAGGTGCATTTTTTATGCGTTTTTTGACATTTTTTGTACTTCAATGTTTTTATTAATTTATAAACAGTTTAACCACTTCCAGTCCGGACACTTTTACCCCCTTCCTGTCCAGGCCAATTTTCAGCTTTCAGTGCTATCACACTTTGAATGACAATTGCGCGGTCATGCAACACTGTACCCATATGAATTTTTTAGCACTTTTTTTTAGACAGGTAAAGCTTTATTTTGGTGGTATTTATTCGCCACTGGGATTTTTATTTTTTTTGCTATGTAAATGAAAAAGTCAAAAAAATTTTGAAAAAAAAAAAAGTGTTTTTTCTTATAAAAGTTTGCAAATAGATAATATTTCATCATAAATCTTGGCCAAAATGTATTCTGTTATCTTTTTAGTAAAAAAAAAACCAAATTAGTTTATAACCAAAAATTATAATTTTTAAACATTTTTTTTATTTTTTTAAATCATTTATGTTTTTTTTTTTTTTTTTTACATACTGTCAGTCTAGCAGTACAGTGTCACCGTGGTGACACTGTACTACTTGTGGGGGGTGATGAAGATTTTTTTTTTTTTTACACTGATTGCTTTTATACCCTTAAAGGCGGTCATTTAAAAGCGATCATTTCTCCTTCTCTCTGTCTGCATTCTTGCAGGCATTGAGAACTACTGTGTGAGCTGTGATTGGTCACAGCTTTTCACATGGTACAAGGCTGTTGTGAATAGCCTTGTACCATGTGATCTCTGTGATTTCACATGTAGTAAGCAATGATGTCACAAGTGACATCTTGCTTACTACTCTGCATGTGATCACTGATTGGCCAATCAGTGATCACATGATCTGTACCTCGCACAGAGGTCCCGTCCGACGATCGGTGTTCCACTGTGTCCCAGGGAGCACGCACAAGCAGGGTGCAGGGACGCCGTTTATGCGCCGTGGCTAGGCCCACCTTTCCCTGACATTCAGGCCCTCCTAACCCTCTTGTATCCTTGCTATATTGTCTCCCTTTATATTGTAAAGCGCTGAGCAAACTGTTGGCGCTATATAAATCCTGTATTATTATACAGTAATAATAATAATAGGTGTTTTTTTGGCAGGGACGTTTTTGGGGCTGGAAAAAAAACTCAGAACTAGTGGGTTTCTAGAAGAGTTTTTTTAGTTGTAAAAACACAACGCTGAAAAAAGTAATAAAACGCGGCAAACCGGCATTTTTGGACTTTTTTGAGCAAAGAAAAAACATTTTTTTTTAGTTAAAAAAATCAAACATGGAAAAATGCGCCTAAATGCTAATACAAAAAGCTAAAAATCGCTCAAAAACTTGCGGTTTTAACTTGACTTTACACAGCTAATGCTACCAGCATTATTACAAATGCCCCGTGTGCATGGAGCTTAAGAATTAGTAAGCTGCAATATAAAAAATTGTAGCTTTTTGGGTTTAATACCACGTTAATGTGTCAGAATAGTAAAGCTCAAACATTTTGTGTTTTACTGCAGGAGAGCTTTATTCCTCTTTTATATCAGCATTTTGTAACACGTAATGACGTGGCTCTGTTCTCTGTGGAATTCTCCCGTGAACCGAGGATGGGGAAGGGGGGGGGGTGAAGTCTGGAAATGCCAGGCTCACAGGAAGCTGGCTGGTGCTGGGTGTAACCGGGTAGGGATGGTGCCACCTCTCTGGATTGGTGAGTAGGTGAGTATGTGGATGACAGAATTGAATATCAGATGATTATACTGTATTATTACTGTATGGATTGTTTTATTTAAATGGTCATTGTAGTTAGGTGAACTAATGCAGGCCATACATGGTTCGAATTCTGAACAATTTTCGTACAAAAATGGGTCGATTTTTGCTCTATTAGTGGGGCAATGGCATCTGCCAATTTTTGTGGCATTTATTGGGCATGCTGGAAAATTCGTGAAAAATGACCGATTTCGAAATCATTTGTGGCCCCATTGGATTACAGAACAAAGGACGTTTCAATTTTCGAACGAAAAATCATTTGGAATTCAAACCATGTATGGCCTACATTAGCCTTATTATTTGTTAAAAAAATGTTCTATATGAATTGGAAAACCAGAATCAACATAGCACAAGTAATGTCGCTCACAGTGTGCGGTGATATGTAACAGTCTGCATTTCTCACGCAGAGAGTCACACTTTGCGGTATTATCACACAGTACTCTCACATAAAAGATCAGCTCAGCCAGAATTCTTTGTATCTGGATACCTGGATGATAAAGAAATTGTAAATTACAACAGTGAGTCTCATATGGCTCTTCCTGTGGCTCTGTGGATGGAGGAGAATGAAGGACCCGAATACTGGGAAAGAGAGACACTGGATTTTAAAGGCATGGAACCTGTATGTAAGTACAGTGTGAAGGCTACAAAGAGTCACCTGAACCAGACCCGAGGTGAGAAGCTGGCTAAATATGATGATATATTTCATATAACCCTGTGCTATTGTATGTTTTATCGTTTTGTTTATGTGCTTGTGATTTAGAAACAGAGCACAGGAGATATGCCTGGTGCTTTCAAACTGTATATTCATTATTCAACAGAACTAACATGGACCCAGTCCCCCTAAGTGACAACTATAATAGTGAATTCAAATAGGAATGGAGAGCTGTTGGAGCGATGTACTACTCCAGCAGCTGTCCATTCCTCCTCTGATGAAGTGCGTGCGCATGTAACGCGTAAGGAGGGGTCAGGACGTCGTGACGCTACGCCGCCGGAGCCATGTTGAGGCCCGGGGCCATCTTTGATTTCCTACGGTTAGTTTCACTTCTATACCCTGATGCTGTTTTTAGCTCCTGTTTGTTTGCAAACATACTCTTAACCAATAAACATAATATTTTCAATACTACACTATGGGCATCATTCCCTGACTCCCGGAGAGGAGTATTTATTCACAGAGCCCTTGCCAAGAGGAGGAAGACTCTCTGTTAGTAAACAGCTTCATCCATCCTATAAATAGGGACCTCTTACTACTTGGATCCGAATAATCCTGACTTCTGGGCACCTGACGATGACTACTCTGATGGAGGATTACCAGATTTGACCAGACCTATACCTGATGAGGATACCTCTGGATATAATACATAATGCGTATTATTATACTTCTGGTGAGTGCGCAATTCAACTATTACTCACGGAGCACTACCATTGAGTCTACCAGTCACTTGGCACTTTACAACTGCACAGACTGTTCATATTGTATCATATTTCAGTCATTGCAAATACTTATTGTCAGTTTTTAGCACTGCTCTATTTTATTCTAGCTGTCCATTCCTGGCTGCAGTAGGGAGCAGTGTGATGTGCAATTCAATGCATCACATGGCTTCCTTTTTTTTTTCCAGTTGTGTACAAACTTTATTTGAAGTGTATGTAGTGCTCACCCCCTTTTATACCTATAAAATTAAAAGTCCCAGTTTGACTTGAACATCCCTTGTATAATCAATCAGGTATCCAGCAATGCAGAGGCACGTTAATCAAGATTCCTGACCCCCACAAAAAGAAAAAAAAAAGCATTGATTTTGATTTCTGGAACTTTGTTGAACTTTCTTTTAATAAAAGTGGGCAAGAAAAGGCCTAAAAATGAAGATTACGGAAGTGGCTGTGCCCTTAAAGCTCTATCGCTTGAAACTAGTTCTCACATAAGGTGAAGAATTGTATCAGGTAGAAATTGGAGGTCCCGCAAAGAAGTGAGTTCATTTGTTAAATGAACTGTTTTTTATGTCCATGGGCTTGCATGAGCTGCTTTCCATGGCGAGGAGAATCTGCAAGAGGAAAGAAGCTCTTAAAGAGACAGTGCTCCATTTTACTGAACTGTGCAACAGTGCTGTGGAGTGACTGTGAAGATGAGGCAAGTGCGCTGTCCGAGATGCAGTGAGCCAAGGCATGTGGTATTCAAGTTTCCATTTGACCCTGCTTACAGTGCAGAGTAGCATGGTCAAGCAGAGATATGTGCCTACAGTTGAGAAGTCCATTCTGAGTGCCAAGAGGGAGCAAGAGGCTGACCAAGAGCACATGTGGAGTGCAAATGCCTGTAGGAATGACATCAGGCCTGTGGACTGTATGAGAAGGGGGATGCCTACAGAAGATTGCAACACCGCAAGGATATGAGCTGGGAGAGTGCCATCTCCTCCAGCAATGGGAGAAAGTGTGTCAACAGGAAGGAGGAGCTGCAGGAAAGACGTGGTTGAGCTTCACCGTCAGTGAGCTTCTGAGTCACCAGGAAGGAAACTCCCTGGAAAAAAAATTGTCCAGTACCATGTTTAGAATGTGGTCATTTGGTGCATGATATGATGACTTGTCCCAGGTTCTGGAATACCATTGGAGTTAACATTGATGGGCAAAAGACTTTACCTGAAAGCCCATTTGCCATTTTAAAAGTGTTTACAGTCAACCCTGGCAACAGTAAAAAAATTCCTGTTGAGCCTGCTGAGGGTGCTAAAAAAATGGAGATGCCTGTTGTAAGTTCATCCAATGTCCACGGGAGGTAGTGGGTCAGTAAAAGTCCAGCAGAGGAGATTCAACATACTCAAGTGAAGATGGCAACACCTAGGGTGGCCACCTCATCCCTTTAAAATGGAACACATATTAATTACACAGGTTCTGTGGCTGATTAAGGTGGCAATTAAACTCACTTAGGTTCAGTTCACACATATGCAGTTTGTGTTTGATCCATTTCTGCAGTGATTTTTTTGTGTTTTTGCACATGTGTTTTTGATGCATTTTGGGGGGTTTTTTTTCAGCTTGTTGCTGGGCAGAAAAAAAGTGTCAAAATGCATCAAAACTACACTACATACTTTTCTGTAGTGTCTCCATTGAATTCTATAGAATCAAAAACGCAACGTTTTGCATTTAAAAAAGTCCCTGACCCTTTCCAAAAAAATGCACCAGGTGAACACACGGAGGTGTGGACCTGTCCCATAGGAAATCATGTTAAATGGACTGCTGTGCATTTCTGCAAAACGCAGTGGAAAGCCCATATGTGTGAACCTAGTCTTAAGCAGGCCATAGATGGGTTGAAAATCGGCCGATTTTCAGATCATTTAGTGGGTTAATAGATCGTCCGTTTTTTGGTATTTTTTGCCGATTTTTTTTTTTATCAGTAAAGTTGGAAAAAGATCGGCCGATTTTCGTGGCAATTATGGGCAAATCGGGCGATCTTTTTACCGATAAAAAAATCTGCGCATGAGCAGTGACCTGCAAGAGGAAGACAAAAAGAAGAAGAGGAAGAAGAAGAAGAGGATGAAGAAGAAGAGGAAGAAAAGGATGAAGAAGAAGAAAAGGATGAAGAAGAGGATGAAGAAGAAGAAGAAGAAGAGGATGAAGAGGATGAAGAAGAAGAGGAAGAAGTGGATGAAGAAGAAGAGAGGATGAGGATGAAGCAGAGGATGAAGAAGAGGATGTGGATGAAGAAGGGAAGAAGAGGATGAAGAAGGAAGAAGATGAAGAAGAGCAAGAAGAAGAAGGGGATGAAGAAGAGGAATGAGGATGAAGAAGAGGATGAAGAAGAAGAGCATGATGAAGAAGAGGAAAGAAGAAGAGGAAGAGGAAGAAGAAATGAAGAAGAGGATGAAGATGAGGAAGAGGAATGAAGAAGGAGGATGAGGATGAAGAAGAGGATGAAGAAGAGAGGAGGATGGATGAAGAAGAGGATGAAGAAGCGGAAGAAGAGAGGATGAAGAAGATGAAGAAGAGAGGATGAAGAAGAGGAAAGAAGAGGATGAAGAAGAGGAAGAAGAAGATAGATGAAGAAGAAGAGGATGAGGCTGAGAAGAAAAGAGGAGAATGAAGAAGAATGAGGATGAAGAAGAGGATGAAGAAGAGGATGAGAGAAGAGATTGAAAAGAAGATGAAGAAGAAAGAGAAGAGGATGAAGAATGAAGAGGATGAAGAAGGGGTGAAGAAGAAGAGGATGAAGAAGATGAAGAAGAGGATGAAGAAGAGGAAGAAGAAGAAGAGAGGATGAAGAAGGGGATGAAGAAGAGGAAAAAGTGGATGAAGAAGAAGAGGATGAGGATGAAGAGAAGGGGAAGAATAAGGATGTGGATGAAGAAGAGGATGAAGAAGAAGAAGAGGATGATGGAGAGTGTTGAGGATGAAGAAGAGCAAGAAGAAGAGGGGATGAAGAAGAGGAAGGAAGAAGAAGAGGATGAAGAAGAGGAAGAAGAAGAAGAGGAAGAAGAAGAAGAAGAGGAAGATGAAGAAGAAGGAAGGTTTGGATGAGGATGAAGAAGAGGATGAAGAAGAAGAATGGATGAAGAAGATGAAAAGAGGATGATGAAGAAGAAGAAGAGGGATGAAGAAGAAGATGAGGATGAAGATGAGGATTTAGGATGAAGAAGAGGATGAAGAAGAGGAAGAGGAAGGAATAAGAAGAAGAGGATGATGGAAGAAGAGGATGAAGAAGAGGAAGAAGAAAAAGAGGATGAAGGAGGGGCCCGGTGAAGAAGAAGAGAGGATGAAGAAGAGGGGAAGAAGAGAGATGAAGAAGGGGATGATTAGAAGAAGAAGAGGATGAGGATGAAGAAGAAAAAGTGAAGAAGAAGAGGAGATAGAGAGGATGAAGAGAGAAGAAGAGGGGAGGAATGTGATGAAGAAGAAGAGGATGAAGAAGAGGATGAATAAGAAGAAAAAGATGAAGAAGGGAGAGGATGAAGAGGGTGGTAAGACGTAGGAAGAAGAGGAAAGAGGATGAAGAAACCGGATGAAGAAGATGAAGAAGAAGAAGAAGAGGAGAGGATGAAGAAGAAGAAGAAGAAGAGGTAGAAGAGGATGAAGAAGAAGAGGATGAAGAAGAGAGCAGAGGTAGAAGAAGATGAAGAAGAAGGAAGAAGAGGAATTCCAGTCCGGAAAAAAAGTGTCCCTGCAGAGAGCTCCGCTATTTCTTTGACATTTATAGCGGTTGCAACATTGTATCTATTTGTTTCCAAATAAAAAACATCTGTATCCGAAATGGATACAAATTAAACACATTGTTGCAACCGCTATAAATGCCAAAGAAATAGCAGAGCTCTCTGCAGGGACACTTTTTGCCGACTGTAGACGGGATGAAAATCGGCGATTTTTTTACCATTTGCTGTGGTTAACGTCGGGCCGCTTGAATGACGATGCATGCGTCCCTTCTTCCATCCCTTCTTCTGAGGGGAGTGCTGCCCCCTGAAAAATGCCCGCCCCTAGGCAAATGCTTTGTTTGCCCTTGTGGTAAATACACCTCTGGTGCCCTGTCCAAGGGGAGGGCAAGTGTTAAAATTGAATGTGATGCTTACTAAGGAATATGACAATACTCTATTGTGTTGGCTAATGATGATGGTGACGTTGGTAATGGACTAGTGCAACTCACTAGAGATAAAAAATGTTGCTATGAATATAGTTAAAAATGCATTAAAGATTCCCTTAGCAA